GCAGGTCCCGCACAGAGAAAAAAAATACTTTAAATCCTACTAAGGAATTCTACTTAGAACTACCATGTGCGTGATAATGTTTGCACCATTAAACACTGTGAAAACAAACAAAAGTCTGAAAATTTTCGGAGTGGAAAAAAAATTATTCAAAAGGGATATGTTTGTTAACCTTAAACCTATGATCATCGATAGAATTTCTATTTACCACAATTACGGCCTCAACACGCTTCCGGAATGCTTGACAGGTTCTGATAATATAGTTCAGATCCATATCTCCAGGCGTGGGCGAGCGCGGGTCAATGTTTGTCTGAGGCTTGCTGTATAGGAGTGGCGTTTGGCACAGGCCTTGGCCTTCATGCCGCGCCACACTGAATAATCCAAGGGGGATCGGGCTGGATGGCGGCCACATATCTTTCGGCTAGAACGACAGATGTTCCTTCAGCCAATTCTGCGTGTGGTTTGAGGTGTGGCGTGGAGCCCCGTCTTGCTGAAAGACCACATTCGGCTCCGGTCCATATTGCTCATTAATCCACGGAAGGATATACTTACTAAGAATGCCGATATATACTTCCATATTCAATTTATCCCCTTCAGGAATGGTGCAAACATTATCACGCATACGGTACCTTGGAGTCTGGAGTTCCTCAGAACTAATTTGAAAGGAATCCTCAGCTTTCAATTTCCTAAAAATGCATCCTCTGAATTCCCTTGAAATCATTCCTATAGATCCTTGAAAGATCCCATCAAATATATCCATTAAAGTTCATAACCTTTGAAACTTTTGAAAGGCCCTTAATTTGCTTGATATCTGGATTCTTGAAATGTATTCTATGTCCGTAGTCTTGAATATTTAATTTCATTCCAGATTCTAGAAAACTTCTCCAAGTTGTGTTAAAATTTTTGTGTCAAATGTTAAGAGAAAAAATGTTAAAACCTAGTACTCGTGCCACCACTGCTCGTGACTACGGATTGATGGTGCGATAGAAATAGTACATTATATACTCGACGTTCGCTTACTGAAACATGTTAACTATTCACTTAGCGAACGCAGTTTGCTAACTGAAATCCATTTCATGAGTCAAACCAGCTGTCAAATGCATTTGAAATGCATAATTTTTTTTTTTTTTTTTTTTTTTTTCTTTATTAGAGAGTTTTTTAGCCATAGGCTAGTTCATTTCTTATAGAAAGAAATGCATCAATGTTCATCCTCGTGTTCATACTTTTCCTTTATTTAACGTCGGTCTCTGTTCCGGAATCTAGTGCCAATCACCGACGGACATCGAATGTGCAGGAAGGCAGCTTCCACACCTGCGTAGGATATCGCACCCATTCAACAACACACATGGGCCAGGACCAACGGCTTTACTTCCCTTCCGAAGGAAGACGTGACCAGAGATTTTTATGCCTCAGAAAAATCCCACCGACCTCGGCTGGGATTGAACCCAGACCCATCGGGGTGTTAGAAAGCAGTCACGTTTACCACTACACCACCGGCGCTGGCCATCCTCGTGTTCATTTCGTTTATCGTGACATCTTGAAATGCATAAATTTGACTTATAAATGTCCTGTAGCTGCAGATCAGTGACAAGGCCTATACCAACAGCAGCGTTTGACAGTAGGCAACATGTCCCGGGTTCGAATAATTTATTTTGCTGTACTGGGTCCGCTATCACGGTATAACATGTATAACTTGCCACTGGGCTGTGTAGCTGCAACTTCTTTCAGTTAGCGGACTTTCAGTTAAAAGACGTTTCAGTCAGAAGTCTTTCAGCTACCGAACGTCTAGTGTATTCCAATCTTGTTTTTGATTCAGTTCCAACAGGTTCCAAACTGGATCGGGTATCAAGATTAAAGCCCTACAGTAAAAGTATGGACGACTGTCACCACAAAACTGAAAAAAAAGCTGTTCCAATCGAGCAAAGCGGCCCGCATAAGCGCGAACCATAAATTGACCTTACCGATAATGGTTATAAATTGTTTATAATCCCTGCTAAACTTCAACTGAAATGGTTATGGAACTTTACATGAACGTTTAATGATAAAGTTTTAACCTTAAGTATTATAGTTTTTTGGAAGTGGACCTTACAAATAATGGGTTGTTAAGAACCATTACCATTCAAAATTCTTGTTTTCTCCATACATTTTCGGAAAGAAAACTATACTAAAACCTTTTAACTTATGGTTTGAGAACATTAATGGTAATGGTTATGGTAACCAGTAAGGTCCATGAATGGTTTTGTAACATCGATCAACTTTATGTGGAATATATCGCGAATTGGTTGCCTGTAAATTACTGATTACCAATTCACGATATATTTCACGTAAAGTTGAGCGATAATACAAAACCATTAATGGACCTTACTGACTACCATAACCATAACCATTAATGTTCTCAAACCATAAGTAAAAACGTTCTAATATAGTTCTCTTTCCGAAAATGTATGGAGAAAACAAGAATTTTGAATGGTAATGGTTCTTAACAACCCATTATTTGTAAGGTCCACTTCCAAAAAACTATAATACTTAAGGTTAAAACTTTATCATTAAACGTTCATGTAAAGTTCCATAACCATTTCAGTTGAAGTTTAGCAGGGATTATAAACAATTTATAACCATTATCGGTAAGGTCATGTGATGGTTCGCGTTTATGCGGGGGTGCATTTTGACGGTTCGATTGGAACAACTTTTGACAGACGTCCATACTTTTACTGTAGGGCTTTATTAAAACTCACCTCAGGTCGAGGTTCGCACATCGGTTTGCACTTGAAATACTCAGAGGGAGAGATGGGCGAATATAATGTTTTGAGTAGAAATACTCAGAGGGAGAGATGGGCGGAGAGAATGTTTTGAGCCAATCGAACATTCCCATTAGAATTTTTCTTATTCTTACTAGAATAAATTTGAGAGTATTGCCATCGAAGAGAAATTCAATCACCTTTATGTTTTGTGTGCTTCTCAAATTCAACTAGTTTTTGGAATCAAAAACAATATTCTAACTCTATTGATTAATTGATCTTCGCCGGTTAATGAATGGCACCGAGAAATCTGCAAAATATTGCGATGCAATCAATTCAGTGCCAACATTTCAAAGGGGCGTAATTGCATTTGTAAACAATGGCTTTAGCCGTCGATTTCTCGCGAATAATAGCTCACTCATGAAAAATAATGACACCAGCAGGTAGAGGAATGTTTCCTCTACCAGCTAGCATTGTAATTTTGGAGAGGTAAGATTTCATTCGCGAGAAATTGACGGCTAAAGTCATTGTTTACAAAAGCAATTACGCCCCTTTGAAATGTTGGCACTGAATTATTATTTTGCACTTAAATCGAATCAAAAAACAAATCATTTGAAATGCTAGCTTCTAGCAAGGGTTGCAAGATAATTTAGAAACAAATTCTTGCTGCCGAATTGTATTTTGTTTTCTCCGCCTATCTCTCCTTTTGAGCTCGCTTTTGAGTATTATTTCTAGTATTGAGCCAAATGAACTGCCAAAAGCTGAGCCAATCGAACATTCCCATTAGAATTTGTCCGAGGATTTCTTATTCCTACCAGATTATATTTGAGAGTATTGCAATCGAACAGAAATTCAATCACCTTTATGTTTCGTGTGCTTCTCAAATTCAAGTAGTTTTTGAAATCAAAAACAATATTCTAACTCTATTGATTAATTGATCTTAGTTGGTTAATTAATGGCACCAAGAAATATGCACCATCCCTCTCCAACGGGGGAGTTTGGTAAAGAGAGATGATCAACCGGATTTGTACCTTCCTCAAAAGTTGTCCTTGATCGCTTTCTACTCTATACTTTCATTCGAGGGGGGCGACTCTATCTCCGATGAAGGAAAATTTGTTTTTTGCTGTGGTTAGCTGCGCGCACGCTGAGGCTGTGAACCATTTGCCGAGTTAAATTTAACTCATGGTTAAAACTGACATTTCGAAAGTTATTTTCTATGTTCGAAAATCCCTGTGCTGTCGATCGACTGGTTTTCGAGAAGAACTCAGCCACAGTTGTCAAAATTTAACTTCTTGTCTGTCAGAAGTAACCAAGATCGGATAGCAGGGTTAATCGATAACTTTCCATCTGTCAAATTTTAACCAAATTTAAAATAATCCACCAAATGGTTCAGAGCCTGAGTAGAAGAAGATTTATGACGATTCTGAAGACTTCTTGCAAAAAGATGATGCACGATGCAAGTAGATGCGAGAAATTAAAGAAGATTTGTCGAAGATTGATTAGCTAGGGTGAGACTTGTTGAGCACCTAGAATTGAGATTTAGATGTGTCGTCCCCCTCGCTTTCATCTCCTCATCTATCGTATAAAAATTACCACTTTGGTCTGCTTTTGCGAACAAAACTTCGGAAACCCTTTTCTCGTGATTCAAGGCACGCCTACGCAAACCAACACCATCGTCGGGTTGGGGAAAGTTTCCCCTATCCGATGATGCTGTTAATTAGCGTTTGGTTCCACTTTTTGATAGCTTGAAATTCTATCTCCCAGACTATAAATATAACGACTATAAGCAAGGAAACAAGCAAATCGCAGTTCTGATGAAACACAATAACATTTTAGCAATCTCTATACTAATTGTAAGTATTTTAACAAATTTTTAGAAAAGTGACGCATGAATAAAATATGAGGATTTTTTCTAGTGTAGTCGACTCCGCAATCGTTGAACAAACCGAGGCGGGCAAGGGTAAAGCGCTGGCCAGACTGAGCAGTTATAACATGTTATAACGGTTGTCAAATAATTACAACACAGAAACCACCATCAAGATAGCGCTATAACATGTTATAACTCTGTAGTCTGAACGTACTATAACGGTCAATTCAAACAACACGCGTTTCAAAATGTTTCAAACCGAAAATCATCTGTTTTCGCATCCCTGTTGAAACTTTGCTACCGATCTTTTGTCCCATTCTGGTGTGTCATGCTTTTCGCTGATGACCACTGTCATGTCTTCTGCCAGCATAAAAATCATAAAAGTCAAGTCCGTCAAAAGTCAGTCATTACCGTTCTTCCTTTTCCAAAACTCGGTTCGCGAGTTTTCCAATTTATTCAATTTGCGGTCCCATTGAAGAATCGCCTACCAAAGTGGAGTAATTCATTCGTTACGGAAACCACAGTGTGTACGCACGTTCCGCGAGTTCGTGGTGACAAATAGGCCCAGTGTCGTTTTGGGAGAAAATCGTGCAGCAAAGATGTTCGAAGATGCTGACAATTTCGCCGACCTATTCCGCGGCGGATTACCCTACTATCTGCTCATCACATTACCGATTCTGATCATCTGCTCGTCCAATCCGGTACTGGCCGCCAGCGAGTTTGGCGTTCAGCGAATGTCGCAGTTCGATGTCCACGGAACACCCTACGGTAGGTCCCCGGGTAGGACGGACTCAGTAAGGACAAGTTTGTCTCATGAAAGTCTCTAGGTCGTACATTATTTAGTTATCATTGAGGTTATGCTGGGTGCAGTTTTATCCAGTTTCTAATAGGGTGCGCTGGGGCCTTGCTGATAACTATCATATTGCATTGTACCTTTGGTTAATTAGATTAAAGACATCGCTTTGTTCTGATTGGATTTTCTATTGCAGGATGCCGTGGGTCGCTTTTGAATCTGGAAGCGAAATCATTGTACACCTGGCAAACTTCTCGACACTGTGTTGTCACTCGCTTCCAGGATATGACCATTGATCAGTTCCGTGAAATCCGTGCCAAAGCCGGTGGCTTAGTTATTCTGCTGCCGGAGGATTTTGCCTCCCTTAGCTTGGAGGAGAAGCAGGTTAGTGATGTTCGTATGGTCAAGTGGAAGTTTTATTCAAAAGTTGTGAAATCAAGGAGTTTGCTAATAATAGTAAACAGTACGACGAACTTCTTAAGCCCGGGCTTTTCTCCATATAATTAATCGAGATCTCAGTCAAGAGGTGCTCTAAGACGTGATGTAGGTATATTGTTGCAGAAGACGATCCTTGAAGCATAGGTATTGCGAGACAGGGATCGATCACTCTATGGAGCATCGTTCATTTACTTTTTAATATAAAAAGCTAACGTTATGTATAATTAAATTGTCAGTTAATCCGTCTTTAAATAGATCGATTAATGCTAGTAGTCTACCGATTAAACTTCAAAAATGTCGCTCCGACAAACGTCGAGTTTTCATTGAAGAGTGCACCTTCATTGAAATCACAGATTATTGTTCAACGGTGCGAACATGTTGAATTTTGATTGGTAGGATAATAGCGTTAATCCATCTATTTTAAGATGCATTAACAGAAAATTCAATTGGACTTAACGCTAGCATTTTATGTTTAAAAAAAAAGAGTTATGCATCCCTGTTGCGAGGAATATTATGTTAACTGTTCAAGACGTTCGTCATCCTATTATTGGGTTATACTTTCAAAAACACGCAATAATACATCAAATTACTTTACGCATTATTTCAGATTGCTAACAATGTTGTCATATTTCTTCTGCCGTTTCACGTACATAATATGTTGACTGATTTTAGAAATGCTTCTAAAAAAACTTGATATGATTTCTTTTTATAAAATAGACCAAAGTAAATTATTCCTTTATCGTGCCTAACTATTCCAAAGTTGTATATTCCCTCAAATTAGATCAAATCTGCGGTAACATGCGGCAAATCAGATCCAGATTATGAGTGTAGCATGTTATCGTTTCAAATATCTGCGTATGATTTTTGATTTTTGTTCTGTTATGTATAATTTATTCATATGAGATCAGAACATGAGAAAAAGTTTGATTTTCCAGGAAAATTATATTACATCAGCGCTGTCTCAAGCGGCGTCGTTCAGGTTGTAATATTACCAAATCCGATTAGCCAACATTACCAACAGAGCCACACAGGAGACTAACAGGATTATTTTTTCTTTCTTTACCACCCATTTCCCTACTGCAGCAAATTCACATGCTCGAGCAAGCGATGATGCTGCAGGAGATTTCCATTCCGGTGTACTTTTCCCGGTACAATTCGAAAATGAACGAAATCGTCAACGATGTTACCAAAACGACTATCACGAGCCAGCAAATGTCTTCTCAGCAGCGCGATTCAGCAATCAGTGAAATTCTCGGGTCAATTTCCGCCAACGGCTATCAGATCGTGGTGTCCGGTACAAGTCACGCCGCGAACAAACAATCGAAAATTCCAATCATACAGGGCGAACTAACCCCGACGAAGCACACGATCAAAACGAGTGACGGCGAAAGTAAGTTACCGCTAATCATCCTAACGGCACATCTGGACACATTCGGCTTGGTGAACAACGGTCCACTGAAAAATGTCGATTTGGCTGTGTTGCTCACCTTAGTCGAATTGTTTAGCAAACTTCACGCTAGTATTCCAAAGTATCGCCTGATGTTCCTGGTGTCCGAATCGGGAAGCCTTCTGAACTTCCAAGGCATGAAGAAGTGGCTCGATTCCAACCTGGACGAGAACGTACAAATTCAACAGGCTGAATTTGTCATCTGCTTGGACTCGATCAGCAGAACGTTGGCCAATGATAACCTTTACATGCACGTGTCGAAACCTCCGAAGGAAGGTACTGCGATGAATGGCTTCTACAAGACGCTGAAAACTGTCGCACAGCGATACGGTAACGTTACCGTGGAGGGTGTACATAAGAAGATCAACCTGGCGGATACGTTGCTGGCGTGGGAACACGAACGATTCAGCATGAAGCGAATGCCGGCATTCACGGTGTCCAGTTTGAAGGTAATGTATGAATAGAAATCCTTCCAAGCGCAAAATTCTGATGTGAACCCTTATTCTTCAGTCCCACAAGGATTATCTCCGCAATACGATCTTCGACGATGAGGACGAAGAGGAACAGCTGAACAAGCTGGAAATCAACGTAAAGATCGTGGCCGAAACACTTGCCAGCTACATTTACAGCTTGCCTCTGGACAATGCTGCCGGTAGTGGCGAGATCTTCACCGGTTCCATGGCCATCACCAAAGACATCATCCGACCGTGGTTGAAGGTGCGCTCGAGCCAGCAGAACAATGATCTGAAAAATGCCTTCGAAAAGTACCTTAAGAATGTCAAGGTTAGCTACGACAAACCGGACGCCCGCGAGCCAGACTTCATGCTGTACGACGAGCGCGACGGCCTGCTCAACATCTACAACGTCAAGCCAGCCGTGTTCGATCTGTTCTTGACGTTCATGATTGTGGCCTACCTGGCCGTGATCTATCTGGCCATCTTCCATTTCTCCAAGATGTACACCTTCGTTTGCCGCTTGACCGTTAATAAGGTCAAGGTGAACTAACCTTCTTTTCGTTTAAAATTCTCATCTTATTTAAAGCAAGAATTGCCGAAGAAAAACAAAACCGTTAATATTCATTTTGAGTTCAGAGGTTAGTGAGAATGTCCTCAGAAAAAAAAAAGAAAGTTAATTTGTAGACGTACTTTAAGTTTGCAACGACAACTACAGCTGCTAGTTTTTCATCATCTAAGTATAGTTTTATCTAGTTGTACCACGCTGCTGCAAGTCTTTTTGTTTTGCGAGCTGTTATTTAACGTAAAAAAAAACATCATAACTGCTAGTCTGTGCATTTTTAAAAGTTCGTTTCATCCGCATTGAATCCAGTTCTGTTTCTGTCATATAGGAATTAGAAAAAAAAATGAAGGTTTGGAAGGACGGCGAAAGGCAATGGAATCATATGGTTAAGATTAGGAAAACGGCTTTTTTGACCTGTTAACTCGGTATAGAATGGAACTAGTAAGTATATCATCAATCAGTAAATTGTTTTGCGAGTGGATACAAATAGCGAGTTGAGTTTTTATTCATTGCAATGTTTGACTTCCCTCTTAGACTGTTTAACATTCCGAATACGGTGGGTAAAAAACTTTAAGCCGACTACGAAGCCTCCGAAAAACGTGTAACGGCAAGTTTGCAATGGCATAACTTAGCCATTTATTAATGAATTTCAAAATGTGTGGTACCTTTAGAATTCCTAGGGTTTGTAGATGATTTTGATTGCAAAAAGATTAAAAAAAGAGTCGTCTACTTTTTGTAAAAGCGAAAAGAGTTGTTACACGTTTTTTTGAAAAGTGTGTTTGTATGGTTTTGCAAGTAGCGCAAGATCTGTAATTTAGATTAATGGGCACAAATGTTCACAATTAGCTAGAAAACAGTCATGGTTCCTATATATGGATCCTGGAGACAACGGAACGGTCCTCAAAAAATCCGGAACATCCGTAAAAGTGGTCAATCCATGAACCTTATCCTAGAGCTCTGCGGTTTTTTTTTTTTTGACATTAGGATCTGTGATATAAGAATGAATTTGGGTAATGGACCCAGATGGCCATCAGACCGTCCAGCGAAGATCCGGAACATCCGTAAAAGTAGTAAATCCACGATCCTGATCCTTAAAACTCCGCGTTTTTTTATAAACATTAGGAACTGTGATGATAGAAGCAATTTGAGGTTGTGACATAAACATGGACCTTGATGGCCATGAGACCGACCTCCGGAAGATATGGAACATCCGTAAAAGTGATCAATCCATGAAACTGATCCTAGAGCTCCACAGTTTTTGAAAAACACTAAGAACTGAGATGATAGAATGAATTTGGGATCGTGACATAAACATGGACCTTGATGGCCATGAGACCGTCCTCCGGAAGATCCGAAACATCCGTGAAAGTGGAAAATTCACGAAACTGATCCTAGAGCTCCGTGGTTTTCTTGAAAACGTTAGGATCTGTGATATTAGAATGAATTTGGGATCGTGACATAATCAAGGACTCAGATGGCCATCAAACCGTCCTCCGGAAGATCCGAAAAAACCGGAAAATTGGTCAATGTTGTAACTAATGAAGACTTCCACCCGTTGCCGGGACGGCCGTCTTTACTAGTTTGCCGGACTAGCTCACCAAATAATAAAACTCAGGGTCGGCATAAAACCACGCTAGGAAAAGACTCAAGGCGAAACACTCCAACTATCGTAAAGGAAACCACACTAGATCGATTTCTTTGGTGCATGCAAAAGATGTTCGCGACCCAAGCAAATTAGATTGAATTTTAAACTTTTAAAAATTTATTCAAAATGGAATTGGAACTTTTTTGGACACTTTTGACTCACTGTTCTCTCGTTGATGCTGCTCACTGCTACCGCTGCCTCGTTGGTGGTGCACCACGTGGATTGCTGACCTCGTTCCCGCGCTCGGCCGACCGCCTAACACGCCTCCTCAATGAAACCGCTAGCTTCTTCGCACTTTCCGATGGTACGGTGCGTTGATGGAGTTTTTGGAGAGGACCGTATGGTGACGGACGGTCCGTTCGACAGCCTGGGAAGCGGTCTAGCGTGGATAGCACTCCGGAACTATTTGGCTTCTGACCGGTAGCTACAAACTATCACTGCACGCTCTTCAACACGTGTCGTTTAGAAAACATGTCCAAAAGATTCACAGGACCACTTTCTAAGTTTGCGGAACACGGTTGGAATTGGGCACAACGTTACTTGACGTTTAGCGACCGATCAAAGGTAACGCGGCAAAAGAACTTCTGTTCTGAATTTTTTTAGAAAATTTTGTCGAACTTTTGAAACACTTCGTATAACTTCACTTCCCAGGATTAAGAGACTTTTGTGGGGGTGAAGTGAGCTTATATAGCTTTGCCAAGATAAGTTAGGTAGTATTCCAACTCATCGTACGATCATCACGCCATCCTCGATCGCCTGAGTCTGCGCGCCTTCGGCTCACTTCGTGCGTTCGAGCAGTTGGGTTCGAGTATCGGCAGCCCGGTCGAATTCGAACATGCGAGTCGCCCTAACACTACCTAGATTTTAGATGGCCCTAGCTGCTTCTACAATGCTCAAAAGAGATACAATCCGTCTCATTTGGCAGCACATCCCATATTTTTGCACCATGCTAGTCTTCTGAAATTGTTTTTTTTTTTCAGGATAGCGTGACAACGAATTATATCCTCTTTCAGCATGATAATTTCAAAATTTAATTTAATTTCATTTATTGCATTTAATCGTCTTTTTCAAACTTTCTTTGCATGATTATTTACATTTACTGACAATATTCCTGTAGATCTTAGTTCAAATTTCTCACCAAGCCATCATTTCTAGGTGGAAACTTCTTCGAAGGTTACAATGAGTGGAACTGATCCTAGAGCTCCACGGTTTTTTTTTCGAAAACACTTGGAACTGTCATAGGGTAAATGTTGGCTTCGGCACCCATTGACTGTTTTCGGCAACCTAAATTTAAACGTTAATTTCACTATGTTTTCCCATCAACGCACTTCCCTGAATGTGTCCAAACGATTGTTTAGCCTTTCAGCTTCAATCTGATTATATTTGAACGATCGAGCAATCCAGTAATGCTACATTTTTCTTCAAATAAAGCATACGCACTACAAAACGGGGTTGATTTCGAGTTGCCGATAATAGAACAGCTGGTTAACACGCAGTTCTAATGGGAAGGTTGCCGAAGAAAAAGAGGCTGCCGACAATAGTCACACTCACCTGAGAAGTTTGGAGCGTTGTAAAAACGCTTTCAAAACGTTTTGAAAAATTCTGTCGATTGGAATGGATAGAGAAGCAAGCAGCAGATGAATGTAAACAAACAGACACATCATATATGTGCGTGACGCTGAGAAAATGCTAGTAGAAGTGCAGACGCTGCTTAGATTGACGAGAATACGTAAATTCCCCTATATAAATTAATTTGCGGTCGTGACATAAATATGTACCTAGAAGGCCATGGGACTGTCCTCCGCAAGATCTAGAACATCTTTTAAAATGGTCAATCCTCGAAACTGATTCTAGAGTTCTACGTTTTTTTTTTTGAAAGCATGTATAAGAATAAGAAAGAATTTGGAGTCATTACATAAACATGGACCCAAATGGCCATGGGGCCATCCTCTGGTAAGTCCAGAACATCCGTAAAAGAGGTCAATCAATGAAACTAATACTATAGCTCCGCAGTTTTTTTTTACAAAAACTTCAGGAACTGTGATATTTGTGGTCGTGACAAAAACATGGACTTGGATGGCCATTGGAAGATACGGAAAATCCGTAAAAGTGATCAAGTGGTTTCTTATATCACAGTGTTTAAAAAAGAACTGCAGAGCTCTACACTCAAAAAAATTATCACATATCTAATGGATGAAAACCATGTGAACCTCACATAGCTTTCATGTGATCACATAGCTAAAAATCCCACTACAAAATCACATGAATATTATGAGGCTGATGAAATTCATATGAAAAATCATATAAAATTAACGTGATCCCATAAATGTTATGTAAAATTCAGATGAATCCCATTAATTTTGTTTATGGATGAAAATCATTTGCGTTTCCAATGGAAGCTAGGGGAATTTACGTATTCTCGGCAACCTAAGGAGCGACCTTCTTTCTATAGCCTTTTTCTCTATAGAACGCACACATATGCAGTATTGGTTCGTTTACAATCTTTTGCTGCCAGCTGCTCAAACAATTTCAGTCGAAAGTCAAAAACTGTTTTGAAACGCTTTTACAAAGCTCCAATCTTCTCTAGTGAGAGCGAGTATTGTCGGCAACCAGTTTTTCTTCGGCAACCGTTCCATTTTAACTGCATGTAAATCTTCTGTTCTATTATCGGCAACTCAAAATCAGGTACAATTTGTAGTGCGTGTGTTTCATTTCAAGAAAACCCTGCTAGATTGCTTTTTCTCAGTGGTAAAAATATAGTCAAATTGAAGCTGAAAGCATAAAGAATCGTTTGCATGCATTCAGCGAAGTGTTTTCGTAAGAAAATCCAGTGAAAATAGTGTTTCAATTTGGATTGCCGAAAATAGTCTTTCATGCCAAAGCCGTCATTTCCCCTACATGAAAACTATTTTCGGTGTAGGATCGATTCGCAAATATGAACCCATGAATCCCGGCTGGTATTGCCCCACGAACTCTCTTGCCAATGGTGACAGGCGGCGGCATATAATTTGGGAAAGTACCTTGTAGGCGGCGCTCAGCATTGTGATCGCGTGGTAGTTGCAGCAATCCAACTTGTCGCCCTTTTTTGTAGATTGGGCATACAACACCTTCCATCCACTCCTCCGGTAATCAGTAGAAATACTCAGAGGGAAAGATAGGCGGCGAAAACAAAATACAATTCGGCAGCAGCCCTTGCTAGAACCCAGCATTTCACATGACTTATTTTGATTCGATTTACGTGCAAAATAATAATTGATTACATCGCAATATTTTGCATATTTCTTGGTGCCATTAATTAACCAACTAAGATCAATTAATCAATAGAGTTAGAATACTAGTTGAATTTGAGAAGCACACGAAACATAAAAGTGATTGAATTTCTCTTCGATTGCAATACTCTCAAATATAATCTGGTAAGAATAAAAAATCCTCGGACAAATTCTAACGGGAATGTTCGATTGGCTCAGATTTTGTCAGTTCATTTGGCTCAAAACGTTCTCTTCGCCCATCTCTCCTTCTGAGTATTTCTAGTTTGAAGTTAGCTTTTGTAAATGAGGATTTATGGGCCCGCAAACGACGCTGCCATCGATTGATTGCGTTCAAGTTTTGATTTTCGAAACAGAAGCGTTCTCTCTTTATAGGTACGTTTGTGTTCAACCATTGACGAATGATGGTGCAGAAATGTGAGGCCATGTCATGGATATCCACACTGTCGTAGACACAATTCCAGTCTAGGCCAGACAGATGAGCAATAAGTCCTTCGAAATAGATTTTGATTTTGCTAGACAGAAGGTAGTCTTATGAAGGCCACATTCCAGAACGTGAGTGGATCATGGTGATCACGTCAAACTATAATGTCTAAAATGAACCACATGTCTCAAACAACCCCTAGAACGACTCCCATACACTCTTCATGCTGAATCGTGAGCCCCGCTTTTCCCATATCATTGCATGCAAAATAATAACCTAATGCAGGTCAATTGAATATGCCTAAATGAATTAGTTGCAATGATAGTATGAACAGTAATGACAGTATAATATACTAATTGAATAAAATGACCTGTTAATAATGATCGAGGTTGGTGAAAAGTAAGAGAAGTTGTTACACCGACAAACCGACATGACACTTAGTTCTGATTTAATTGTAATTGTAATTGTTCAGTGCATAGGCTGTGCCTTCCGCTAAGAAGGCTTATCTAGGGACTAACCCCCTAGTCTATACACCTACTGTCCTTCCCGTTGCACTCGTCAGCTCGTGCGATACTATAGACACACATGGGTGGTCGTATCCGGGTCCTCCCCTGGGTGGGCTCGTGTCCGTCCAGGTTCTGGTACATTAACTTATCTATATGCATGGTAATTATACTTTTAAAACTCACCCTTTGATTATAATGTCGAAAATGCTGAAACTAAATAAAGGTTAGCGATCCATATAAGGTGTGTGCTGCAACGGAGTAGTAATTGAAGGAAATGAGGTTCTGATGTGAAGTATAGGTAATTCTAAAATAGGTAAATCAATTAATCATTAGTTGCTAACAGTTACTAATAAATGGGTACGATAAATCACTCATCAATGGGTATTGCCACTCCCACTGAAAAATGGACAAAAACCTTAATAATAAATGGATATTAGATTCCTACCGTGTATTTAAAGTAAAGTTAGGATCTTATCAAGCAAGCACACACCTTTTACGATTCTTATCCTACTTACGGTTTTCTGCACATACGGCTTTTCCTAGATACAAGCTTCGTTCCGTATACATTGGCTGTCTCCAACCGGCATGATCCTTTCTGTCTGCTTCCTCTTGCCGGTGCAAGTTTAATTCTTCTTTTCTTGTTCGAATTTTCTTGTTACTTTTCTCCTATTGAAGTTCTGCTCGTGTTCCCATTTGTCCTCAGGCAGTTAATATTAGTACATGATAGGAAGAAAGAAAGAAATAGAACAAGTTGAGTGTGAGCCGCATGCATTGGTTACTTATTCGGGTCATGGTGTCGTCTTCCTTATTTATTTGCCTCTATTCGCTCTCACCCCCTTCCCTCACACTATTATGGTCGGTAAAGAGAACCCATATTTAGTAATTTATCGCGAACTGCGATGCAGAAGATATTCATAGCAAACTAATCTGGAACTGGTCTAAGACATATAACCCAGTGAGTATTGACATATCACACTGTTGTGAATGAGCACGGACGCGAGATTTACTAGAGTATTAAATGCAAAACGCAAATTCAAAATAAAACTTGACAAGACATCGTCAATCCCCTTATTCTTGGGCAGGGTCTGACGATGTGAATCTGGTATGGTACATTTTCTCACTATGAACCTGTCATTTCCAGCCTATCTGGGGCCCTCCGCATCCTATCTCTGTCTTATCTCAAATGCCAATGGTTTGAATGTATCAATGTATATTAGACCTGTTCATTTTAAACGAAATGTTCGGAATGTAACGGGTCAACCGTGATTACTGTTCGGCATGTTAATTTGAACTTCTGTGCAAATTTTCAGCAAAATCGGTGATGATTTAGAGGTGCTTCAAGTTAATTTTATGTTTTTAAGGTAATTTACGGCTTACAATATTTGTATCTCGAGACTGAAACAACGAAAGCTGCTGTAACAACTTTCATAGCAAAGTTTAATGTGTTATGTATCAACTTTGTAACCAAAGGTTGACTATTCGAAGTGATTTTATTGAAGTTTGACTTAGTTTCATGCTCGAAGATATCTTAAAATGTGAAGAATTTTAAAGTATTTGTTCTACGAATTTTCCACCCATATGATATAAAAATGTGTAGTGTACGGCATAATGTTCCTCATATTGTTCTAGAAGTTTCGTTCCAACATAGTTTTCGTGTATATTTCATAGATTGAGAGATAAAAATCAGAAAAGAGGCCGTTTTAGCTAAAATTCACAAGACAACAGAACCAATAAAAGTCAATTAGATTGACAGAACATAGTTGCATTGCTTTTCAATTACGACCGATGACTGTTTCATAGATATATGATTTTTTCATAAATATGAATCCTCAGTAGACGTGTTTTTTATCAAAGGCAAGTGTCACTCGAACCATAACAGCAATTTATAAAATAATGAACATTTGAATGGCTCGAGTGACACTTGCCTTTGATAAAAAACACGTCTACTGAGGATTCATATTTATGAAAAAATCATATATCAATGAAACAGTCATCGGTCGTCATTGAAAAGCAATGCAACTATGTTCTGTCAATCTAATTGACTTTTATTGGTTCTGTTGTCTTGTGAATTTTAGCTAAAACGGCCTCTTTTCTGATTTTTATCTCTCAATCTATGAAATATACACGAAAACTATGTTGGAACGAAACTTCTAGAACAATATGAGGAACATTATGCCGTACACTACACATTTTTATATCATATGGGTGGAAAATTCGTAGAACAAATACTTTAAAATTCTTCACATTTTAAGATATCTTCGAGCATGAAACTAAGTCAAACTTCAATAAAATCACTTCGAATAGTCAACCTTTGGTTACAAAGTTGATACATAACACATTAAACTTTGCTATGAAAGTTGTTACAGCAGCTTTCGTTGTTTCAGTCTCGAGATACAAATATTGTAAGCCGTAAATTACCTTAAAAACATAAAATTAACTTGAAGCACCTCTAAATCATCACCGATTTTGCTGAAAATTTGCACAGAAGTTCAAATTAACATGACGAACAGTAATCACGGTTGACCCGTTACGTTCCGAACATTTCGTTTAAAATGAACAGGTCTAATGTATATACATTGGAAATGACGTTCAATCAAATACACCCATACCCCACTCACTTGGCCAGGCTTCAGAATCGTCCAGTGGGCAGTGCGCTCTACACTCCAAGTTCTCTTTCTTTCAAATTCACCCCAAATTTGATATTTTACCCCTTTGAGTGTTGATTAATTACAATGAAACATTGTGACAGAGCACGGACTTGAGGTTACTAGAGTATTAAATAATCTAGGTCCTATTTAGGATTATATCTGAAAAATCCAAATCTGGCCAACGCCCACCTATAATAACGGAGTTGGTTTTGTTGGCAGATATTCAGATAACTTGCGGTGTGTCTAGTAGTTGGTCCTTGTCATAATCCATTGTCGTCGCGTGGTCTTGTGTCCGATTATTGTGGTGATTTTGCTTTTATGTGCAGTAGTTTTCCGTGTTCAGTTCCATTGTTGTCGCTGTGCGTAATTTTGTGCCATCATCCGTCCATTTTCGTGTCCTTATTCGTGCATCATCTTATTATAGTCGCTCGTCCATTTTGAATCAGTGGTTTTTGCCAATAGTAGATCAATCCTTTGTCCGTTGTCGTTGCTTGGATCAATATTGGGTCATATATCAAATTTGGTTGATCAATCCTGTCTCCCGCAGAAAGGAGAAGAGCGCTGTGGTGCTAGAGGGGTCATAACTCAGGGTGTCCCTGACGCTTGCTGAGATCCCGTATTGGATACATGGTTCATAGTACTGGGGGCAGTTGCATAGAAAATGTTCCACTGTATGTGGCACATTGCAAGTCTCGCATTGCTTCCTAAATGGACCTCCGCCTCCCATGTTATGAGAGGCTTTGGTATGACCGGTTCTCAGCCGCGATAGAATTACTTGAGATCGGTGTTCAGGCGGATCATCCCATCTTCTGGTGTCCCCTTTAATTTTCCGGATAAAAAGAGATCGCAGGTGATTTGGGTACTTGGTTCGTTGTAGTTCGGCCTTAAAACAGATTTGAATGTGGCATCTCTGGTTGCTGGCCGTTGTATGCTGATTGATGGTCTTCCTTCTTCGCTGCTCGTTGGTGGCGTTCACTTCTTTAGTTGAATTTCGGCGGAGACGGAAGACACTAAGAAATAGCAAAAACGAAATCGGCAATCAAGCACTTGATTGGATTCCATCAGGACATCGCAACAGGGCCGACCCAGTGGCACATGGCGATGTAGCTCCAACGATCAAATAGCAAAAAAGTCGACAGGAAATTAACACGGGCTCCGGCAAACGCCAAACAAAACACAACTCGCCCAGGTTAGCATTCTTTAACGTTGGCTCTATATGCACCACAATGGGGTACGCAGTATATGAGGGTTATTCCGAGAATCGAAGTGACTGTTACCACTAGTGAAGTGAGAAAAGTCACGTCGTGGTGACGTGACTCTCTGTGCAAATCGAATGGAGAGTAACGTCACCCCGACGTGACTTTTCTCACTTCGCTAGTGACAAAAGTCACTTCAACTCTCGGCATTACCGCCTATTTGAATGAGTGAGTGTTCACTACATATAGGATAGCGCTTTGCCCACCTTGCCAGCATGTTTTTCTTTTCGTCCTACCGTCATTGAGTGAGCACAGCAATGGAATGAAAACTAAAATGTATATTTAGAAAACTTTTGCTTGCTAGTCCCTACGAAGATTGTATGCACACAGCGCTGTACTGATTGCATGGGTACAACTTAAAAACAAAAAAGGCATTAAAGTAAAATTTCACAATCATTCTATTAAATAACAATAGCAGAAAGAAAATGATGCTAAAATTAACTTACTATAGGTACGGGTTTTTCAGGCTTCACACAGCGACGGACATAGTTTGATCATAAAGATGAGGGAAACGTGCTTGTCGTTTTCGATGGCGTATGTTGAATCTACACGAAACGGAAAATACAAGTTTCAGCATCATAGAAACAAAACAAAAAAGAAGAAGAAGAAGGTATGCATGTCTTACATTCTGGTAGTATCAGAAAATCACCACCTTTTACTTGGATTTTCTGGCCGTTAAGTTGGAAAGAGAGATTGCCCTCGAGGATCAGGAATTTCTGGAAATTAATCATATAGGCGCATTATGTTTTATGCGAATAATGTTTGCCTTGGGGAGTACTTACCAGCAAGAATTTTGCCGTTTTGGTTAGTTTTTTAACAGCCGAGGGAGCGAACCGCAGGAAGCCATAGTTCTCGGTATCGGAATGAAGATAAAATGAATACTGAATTCCGTTACGCTCGCGGTAGGAAAGATGCTCCTGTGAGTAGTGCATGTATTGGCCCCCGACAATCAGCCCTGTATTCTCCAGGCCTGCAGACTGTACGCCGTTCGTCTGCATAAGCTTAATCATCCAGCTGAAGGCTTGCATCTTTTCTGTTGACGAAGTCCTGTCGCTGTTGGTTGTGCTGGGACTAGGATCAATCGGCGGTTGCACGTCGTCCTGATTGAAGAAATAATTAACTTGATTACTCAATTTAAATATATGCGACCAAAATTTACCGTAATCAACACCACCGTATCGTCAGATCGATTCCTCTTCGATGCCGTTGGCTCTTGCGGATCTACCTGCATTCGCTTGCGGCTTTTGGGCTTTGTTACTCTCTTCTGATTTTGTTCTTCTGCATGTTTCTTGGCTTCTCGTGTTAGTTCCATGAATTCCTCATCCGTCAACTGCCGATAGTTAGGCTTCTCGTAGGCGGATTTCAAGTTGGGATTTCGCTTGATAACCATATCGGCTAGTCGACGAGTTCGCTTGCTGCGGCGTACCTCCGCTTCTTCGTCACTTTCAACTCTCCGTATATTTCGAGGGCTAGCAACGGTGTCCACTTTCTTGCGCAGCTGTTGGTTGTAGCTATCCTTCAGAGATTTTTTATTCGGTACCCAAGTTTCATCATTATCATCATCTATATCCTGGTAGAATCTTGGTAACTTCTTTTCCGGTTTCTCCGTAGTGTACTTTTCGTGATAATCACGAGCATTCTGTTCCTTCCGCCGCTTGCTGGTACTCAGAACACGATCATTAGGCTCAAGTAACGGTGGTATGTTGTCGTTACATTCCAGATGCGTTGCTCCACCAAAGGGTTCCAGTGTGGGGGGGTTGCCGTCGGAATATATCCGCCCTTTGCGTTTTTTTAACGGCAACGGATGTGCGTCTTTATGGAAATCCGAGAGCGAGTCCTCTCCAGCTTCAACATTGTTTGCTTCATTAGATTGGTGAACAACTTTCTTACTGTTTGCTTTTGGTCCGGTTTGAACTGCTGCCGGTTGGACAGCTGGATTAACTTGCTTGCGTGGTCGTCCTCGCTTTTTCGGCTGAGTTTGTAGTGGAAGTACGTCTACCGTTTCTAACGGCGTCCGGGAGATTACCTGTTCCTAAAAGTAAGGCATTATATTAGGGCAGATCTCGAGGAAATATGGTGTTTCACATGTAGAGCAGTTTCACGCCAAATGACGAATCGGAAAAACTCGACCTTCTCCGATGTGCATGAAACTTTGCATAATTGTTTGTTATGGGTAATGATTCATATTTATGCTTAAATTTGGCCATTTTGGATCTAGTAAAATTTTAAAAATGACGAATTTGAAATTTTTTATAGTAATGTAGCACGGAAACGAAATTTCTGATTGAAATCACGTCTGAGACAAAGCTGTAGAGAAAAATGATGCTTTTTAGGAGAAAATATACAAAACAATTTTTTTAGTAATTACAATTCAAAATTCAATACAAATTTTGCAATCCTAAATATTTCAAAATGTCTTTTTTTAGATTTTTGAAAAAAAGCTCATAAATATGTAATACAAACTTTTGAAATGTTTAAAATTATGGACACTTCGAAATTGACAAAAACCGTAGAACAACTACAACTTTGTCTCAGACAGAGGGCTGTTACTCACTGAGGCAAAAAATGTCAAGAACTCCATAAGACATGACCTATGAGCATAAATAATTTTGATTTCATTAGATACTTATATAAATTCCATAGGCATAAGTTATGCATTTCATAAGCACGACTTATTAATGATTATCGTAATACATGAGATACTACGCGGGGTTACACTTTTAACCTAGTCTTTTTCGCAAGCGTTGATAGACGTGGGAACAAATCACGGAGTCAATACTCTGAACGATTCCGGTTTGCTACATTAACTGTTTCAAACGCCAAACATATGATTTTCCCAAGGGGTTTGTCACTCCGCACAGTGTGCCTAACAAGCTTGGGCACACCTGGAGACAGTCATTGGCACTGGTTGGTACCGATATGGTTACAATTTTTCTTATCTTTAAAGATACTGGCAACACTGAACTTCTGCATGTGTCAAAATTTGTTATTGATGTTGTTCAAAACACAACCGCGAATCTCTTTTCGTCTCACACACTGAGCCGGGCAAAACGTACTGGTTTCGTTGTACGACACTACTGTTATTTTTTAGTTTTTCCTCACGCGAGCGTTTTTCCTCACCAAAGTTAGTTGGCATAGTGTTATAGACAACAAGTGCGCGAGTGAGGAAGCCGAGCGCTTTGATTACGGTCCATCTTTAACTCATTCTCATCGCAACATCAACATCAGCAAAACCATCACCACTATCGGCATACGAAAGTGCGACAAATTGCCTACCGAGTCGACCGAGGCACACCAGCTATCCCCTGTTACGTTGTTGGGAAGCCCTCCCTGGCAACGACTCGTTTACCTGTTTGTGAAAATTAATAAATGTTCATTCCACAATCGCACTTCGTCTAGTACAGACGTTTAAATAAACCTTTCTCCGTTTTTTCTTGTTAAACCATATACTTCGTTTGGAGTCTCCCGTTTGTCCCTTCAAGAGGTTATGGGCACCACCGCGAAGGACGTTTCGTGCAACATCCCGTTGCTGCGTGGAAGCGGAGCTGACTTCCAAAACTGGAGTTATCGAGTGCGCCTGTTCCTGGAAGCCAAAGGCGTCACGGGTGTGCTGACTGAGGTGGCTCCAACGGAACAAGCTGCAAAGAAGAAGTTTGAAGAAACGGACCGGATCTCGAAGGCGTTGCTGGTGGGTTGCCTGTCGGAAGAATGCCTCGAGATCGTTCGAGAGAAGGCGACCACGAAGGAGATGTGGGTCAGTCTGGAGGCGGCTTATGCAAAGAAGTCTGTCGCGAGCCAAACGTTAGTACGGAAGCAGTTGGCTTGTTTGCGGATGAAGGAAGGGGACATGCGGACGCATCTACTTGAATTCTACGGGCTCGTGAGAAAATTGAAGACGGCCGGAGCAACTCTGGCGGAAAGTGATCTGGTATCGCAGCTTTTCTTGTCGCTTCCAGACTCTTTCGATCCCCTAGTCACGGCCCTGGAGAACGTCGCGGAAGAAGATTTGAATTTGGACCTCGTCAAGCAGCGTCTATTGGCTGAAGAAAGGAAGCGATCCGACCGGCAGGGCGATTCAGTTGAAGACAAGTTGGCAGCGTTCTCGGGTGACTCAAGATCCCAAAAGAAGTCCCAGAAATTCCTCGGTAAGTACCACAAATGCGGGCGTCGCGGCCACATGAAAAAGGATTGTCGTGAAGCCAATTCAGCGAAGAAGGATGCCATCAGTTTCATGGCCGATGCAAACATTGCGGAAAAGCGGCCTGGACGAATCCTTTTCCTTCTTGATTCCGGGTGCAGTGACCACCTGGTTGGCGACAAGTTCGTTTTTGCTGCCCTGAAGAAGATGACCTGTTGCGTGGAGATCAAGGTCGCCAAGGAAGGAGAAGCTATGCTTGCTGAACAGATTGGCGAAATCAACGTGACCAGCAACAAAGGTGTACATTTCAATCTAAAGAATGTGCTCTACGTTCCAGAACTACGTGAAAACCTGATATCCGTCAGGAAGATGGCCAATGCTGGGATCGATGTCTTGTTCTCTGGAAACGTAGCAGTTCTGAAGAAAAGTGGTAAGTTACTGGCCACCGGACACCTTCGAGGCAGCCTGTACGAGCTTGAGCTATCGTTGGCGGAAGTTGAAGCGAACCATTACGAAGTATCGATTGGAAACCTGTGGCATCGTCGACTGGGGCATATCGGCCAACGCGGATTGAAGACCATGACCCGGAAAGGAATGCTAAAAGGTATGAATGAAAAAAAACCAAAATTGATTTCTGCGACGCCTCCGTGCAAGCCAAGCAATGCCGAGAACCGTTCAACAAAACGCGAGCTAGGGCCAGCCGGCCGCTGGAGCGGATTCATTCTGATGTTTGCGGACCGATCGATCCGCCGGCATGGGATGGTTCTCGTTACATAGTCAGTTTCATCGATGACCATTTCTCGATGATATATTTGCTGAAGCGCAAATCAGAGGTATTCGAGAAATTTCAGGAATTCGAAGCAAAGGTCACAGCTATGCTGGGAAAGTCCATTTCAAGAATAACGGTGAACTTGGGACGAGAGTACTGTTCCACAAATCAGATGCAGTTCTACAAGAGAAAAGGGATACAGATAGAGACAACGGTTGCGTACACGCCCCAGCAGAATGGTGTAGCGGCGTTGGGTCAAACAACTGCATCTCTCCAGTCTGCTGGCGCCTCAGTGTAGAAGGTATATCGTGTTGCTGTTGTTTTGTTCTCACCATGATCGCATCTCCCTTGTTTTCTTGGTCCAACATTAAGCTGGTGCATAATTAGCATAATTGTATGGAGGTCTCCTACACAACAATAGGCTTCTAACGCTGCTAACGTACCGCAACAATAGGACTGTTTCCCCTATTATATATAGGCCCATGGGTTGTTTTTCCGGCCCAAACAAAAAACATTCCGAGGATCTCTAAGGATCTAAAAACATTTTTCGGCCATTACCGATATTTTCAAGGTGACACCAATTAAACTGCGCGTTACCGTTGATTACCAGAAGTAGGCTAACCAAATTGTTGCGTGCGAGTTTTTTTCATTGGAATACTGAGTCTACATACCCAGAAGTAAGGTAGAAACAGCGACAAACCGACATGAATGACCATACAAAGTATCATCAAATTTACGATCAAAGCACAAAACTGACATCTGCCGCCATGTTCGCGAAAATGGTGTATTCTAGACATACAAAATGTATGACTTGGTTCGTGTCTAATCTATTCCAGGCAAATTATTTTTATCTAGATAACAAATTTATATGTTTTTGACAGATGGGATCACTGCACATTTGAAGCCGCCGTTATGGATTCTCGATCAACGGTTAAGTTTAAGTTTCATGTCGGTTTGTCGGTGGTAGAAATTGAAGGAGTGGTCACCGAAGCGAGTTTGACTAGTGCAGCCCAGTGGCAGGCGCGTAGGCAACATGTTATACAGTGACAACGGGCCCATTACAGCAAAATAAACGATTTGAGCCCGGGACATGCTGCGTACTGTCAAACGCTGCTGTTGGTATAGGCCTTGTCACTGGCCTGGACTAGTGATGATTTCTTGGGTCCCGATTCCTTCGGAATCTTTAAAAACCGTGCTTTCCCGAAGGTGAAGATATTGGACAGCCTTCGAATGCAGTCAGTATCCGTCGTAGGCTCCAAAAAATCTTATTCCTTGTCAAACTCGTTTCGTGTAACCTTTTCGGGTTCAGCGTTACCTCACTACGTAGCTATTGGCAAGGTTCGGCTACCTGTACGTCTGTTTGTACCTCGGGTAATGAACTACTCGAAATGTAAACAACTTGCTCGCACATCGGACTACTGCTCGAACAAACTACGCTGCAATCAGTGTGACGAGCAGCATCAAGAGAGTCCTTGCAGTTCTCCTCCAATATGCGTGTATTGCAAGGAGAGCCTGTATACCCTGACTGACTGCCCGAGGTATAAACAGCAGGGTGACAACATTAAGCGGTCTCTGCAAGCTCGCTCCAAGAGAACAATAGCAGAACTCTTGAAGAATACCGCTTCATTTTCTCAGACCACTTAAGAAAAAAAAGTAACACTTTTTTTTCCATTTTGCCAGTTGATGATCTAGACTCAGACTCAGAGGGTGGTGAGGGTAGTCCGTTTGTCTTTAAAGGCAATACGAAAAAACGAGCCAAAAAACACACCACCGACAAGCTTGTAAGGCCCCTCTTAGACAAATCAAGAGGTAACGGAAATGCCATCGAAACCTTGTAATTACAACAAGGACTTTCCGTCATTTCCAGGATCATCTAAAACCTCAGATGTCCCAGTTTTTGGCCAGAAAATCAGCTGAAAAATAATCAGCAAGAACATGCCCCCATGTTCACGTTTTCTGGTATTGTGGTTGTGGATAGCTTCTTCAGAATATTCAATATCTCTGACTCAACGAGGAGCATTATTAATTCTTTTGAAGCAATTAGCTTCTGGTGGTTCTTCATTGCATCTATCATATCGTTTGATGGATAACTCTCCGAATGAGGTCGGGGATATGATCTCTGTTCTTCAGTGGAACTGTAGAAGTCTTGTACACAACTCACTCTCTGATTCATTTGCCCTTTGTGAAACATGGCTCTCTTCAGACAACGATCGTGCTTCTCGGGATCAACAAGCTCCATTACTTTTACAGAATCGATCTGCCTTAGGTGACAGGCATTGAAGTTGGTGCATGTTAGGTTAACATTCGAGGTAAATGTCTCAGAATTGCCTCAGTATATCTTCCACCGAGAACTGCGATTTCTTATTATGCCGGTTATGCCGGAGCCACGCTTGATCTTGAGAGATTTTAACTCTCACGGTACAGACTGGGGGGAACTGTATGACCAGGACTGGCAAATGTCATTTGCAATGGAAGATCTCACGAGATATTTACAGAAATACGTGTGTCACTATCATCGGATGAGAAAACGATGATAGAGATTTTCTTCAAAATCCCATCGAATTTTTTGTCATGACAGAACGTGAGAGTGTTGTGATCAACGTAATTACTAGCTCATTAATAGCAGAATTTAATAAAATAAATATTCAATAAAAGCTGGTAAACGGCTGGACAATACTGGCTGGTAAATACGGACCGGAACAATCGGCATAGACCCAAGCAACGGAAACGGACTAACGATTGGAAACACGGAAAATGGAACTGCAAGTCTCTCAATTTCTTGGGCATTCTTTCCGATTTATTGAGGGTCCGCAAGTTCGATATCGTAGCGCTGCAGGAGGTTTGCTGGAAGGGATCATACGTATAGGGATGGTTATACCATCTACCAGAGCTGCGACAATACACATGAGCTGGGTACAGCTTTCATCGTGAAGGGCGAAATGCAGAAGTGCGTGATTGGGTGGTGGCCAATCGATAGCAGAATGTGCAAGTTGAGGATCAAAGGCCGTTTCTTCAATGTCAACATAATCAACGTGCACAGCCTTCACTTAGCAAGTGATGATGACGATAAAGACGCTTTTTACGCGCAGCTGGAACGGAATACGACAGCTGGCCAAGCCATGACGTTAAAAATCGTCATCGGTGATCTTAACGCTCAGGTCGGCCAGGAAGAGGAATTTAGACCGGTTATAGGAAAGTTAAGCGCTCACCAGCTAACGAACGCTAACGGCCTTAGACTCATCGATTTCGCCGCCTCTAAGAACATGGTCATACGTAGTACCTACTTCCAGCATAGCCTCCCATATCGGTACACCTGGGGATCAACCGCAGCAGACAGAATCGCAAATCGACCACGTTTTGATCGACGGAAGGCACTTCTCGGACATTATCGACGTCAGGACCTATCGCGGCGCAAATATCGATTCGGACCACTACCTTCTAATGGTCAAAGTGCGCCAAAAACTTTCCGTTTCCAACAACATTCGGTACCGACACCCGCCACGGTACAATCTGGAGCGACTGAAGCTGCCCGAAGTCGCAACTGAGTACGGGCAATGCCTCGACGCAGCGTTGCCGGATTGAGGACTGCTGGAGCAACGTGAAAGCAGCCATTAACAGCGCTGCTGAAGGCGCCGTTGGGTTCGTGGAGCGGTTCGACGAAGAGTGTCAGACGGTTTTGGACGAGAAGAACGCAGCGCGGGCGGCGATGCTGCAGCAAGGAACCCGTCATAATGTGGAGCGATATAAACAGAAACAAAGACAGCAAACCCATCTTTTCCGGGATAATAAGCGCCGCATGGAAGAGCTGGAGTGCGAAGAAATGGAGCAGCTGTATCGTTCTCAAGAAACACGCAAGTTCTACAAGAAACTCAACGCATCCCGCCAAGGCTTTGTGCCGCGAGCCGAAATGTGTCGGCTTAACGGACGAACGTGAGGTGATTGAAAGGTGGAAGCAGCACTACGATGAACACCTGAACGGCGCAGAGGCGGAGGACCAAGGCGGCAGGAGGAATGGCTTCGTCGGTACAGCGGATGAGGGGGACATGCCAGCTCACACGATAGGTGAAGTTAAGGATGCTATCCGACAGCTTAAGAACAACAAAGCAGCTGGAAAAGATGGTATCGAAGCGGAACTTATCAAAATGGGCCCGGATAAGTTGGCCACTTGTCTGCACCGACTGATAGTCAGGATCTGGGATACAGGAGGATACCGGAGGAGGCGACAAACTAAAATGTGAGAACCATCGAGCGATCACTATTCTTAACGCGGCCTACAAAGTGCTTTTCCAGATCATCTTTCGCCGTTTATCGCCGCTAGCAAGCAGATTTGTGGGAAGTTATCAAGCCGGTTTTGGGAACGGGCGATCGACAACGGACGAAATCTCCTCCAGATCCTCCAAAAGTGTCGTGAATATCAAGTCCCTACGCACCACCTATTCATCGATTTCAAGGCCGCTTAGAGCTATGGAAGATTATGGACGAGAACGGTTATCCCGGGAAGCTGACCAGACTGATCAGGGGTACGATGGATGGTGTACAGTGCTGCGTGAAGATATCGGGTGCGTTATCGGACTCGTTTGAAACTCGCAAAGGACTTCGACAAGGCGATGGTCTTTCCTGCCTCCTGTTCAACATTGCGCTAGAAGGTGTTATGAAACGTGCGGGCTTCAACATGCGGGGCACGATCTTCAATAAGTCCAGCCAGTTCATCTGCTTCGCTGACGACGTGGAAATTGTCGGAAGAACGTTTCAGGCCGTGGCGGAGCAGTACACTAGGCTGAAACGTAAAGCAGAGAAGGTTGGATTAAAGGTGAATACGTCGAAGACAAATTATCTGTTAGCTGGAGGAACCGAGCGGGATTGGGCTCGCATAGGCAGAAGCGTGACAATCGACGGGGATGAGTTTGAGGTGGTGGATGAATTTGTGTACCTCGGATCATTGCCGGAAGTCGTGCTTACTACGGACTCCACAAGACCCTGAGGTCGGGTAAACTTCACCTCCGTACTAAATGTACCATGTACAAGACGCTGATAAGACCGGTAGTTCTCTACGGGCCCGAAACGTGGACGATGCTAGACGAGGACCTGCAAGCACTGGGTGCTTTCGAACAACGAGTGCTTAGGACCATCTTTGGCGGGGTATGTGAGAACGGTGTATGGAGGCGAAGGATGAACCATGAGCTGGCGCAACTCTATGGCGAATCCTGTATCCAGAAAGTTGCGAAAGCTGGACGGGTACGATGGGCGGGACACGTTTTAAAAATGCCGGACAACTATCCCGCAAAAATGGTGTTTGCCTCAAATCCGGCCGGTACAAGACGAAGAGGAGCACAGCGAGCAAGGCGGTTAGACCAAGTGGAGCAGGATCTTGGAAGTGTAGGACGGTCAAGAAATTTGAGACAAGCAGCCACGGACCGAGTGAATTTGCGTAACATTGTGATGCAGGTGCAATCCTGAGGGATATCGGGTGAGTATCATGTACTATGGATCAGTAAAAACGTCTGGGATTGAAAAAAATATTCGAGATACCATCGAAGTCCGAATAATTCAAGCTGATCTTTGCATTAGATCCTAAGTAACATTGACAGATTTTCTTCGTTGACTTTCTCTTTGTATCCCCATGGCCATGTAAAGACAATCCCAGGTATTTCCAGCACACAGATCCATAAAAGAAGCTTTTATCTAGCATCTAATACGACAAACACAACAAGAACGAAAGAGAAAATCGACGAAGAGAATCGATCAATGTTACTTAGGACCAAATTCATTGTTTAGCTTGAATTGTTAACAGAATTCGATTAAAATACAAAAACAAATTATAAGGATTCAATCAAATTGCCGGTTGTTTTCGATTCCCGGTTCAGTAACAACCACCCTGTGGATACGAAATCAAGCCAAGCTCCACCTGGGACTGAACTGGCACCATGGCACTGATATGCGATTCTTCATTCTTGCATCCGGACCTAATCCGTTGCATCAAATCTGACAGTTAGAGCATAGGTTTAGCTAACACGATCACAGATCAAATCCGGATGCATTGTGCATGACCCTTCAGTCCCCGGCTTGAACGTTATGTCTGTAGAATATTGTTCACTAGACTAGGAAAAAACTAAAAAATTACCTCTTCATGGTTCGGGTCTGCGGTTTCCTTACTCGGCATCTCCGGTAAGCTGGCTAGCTGCAGATCTTCTACTCCGTCGGGATTCAACCTTTCATCCGAATGTTCATCGCTCCTCTCTGAGATTGGTTCAACAATCTTTTCAGTTGGATCGTTGTCCGGTTCATCAGTGTTCGGATGTTTCTTACTCCTGCCGATTTTGCTTCCCGCGACTGGTGGATCTTGTGCATCGATTGGTGTCAGTCTTGCATCCGGATGCTCATCGGCCCTGTCTACCACAGTTGGTTCAGCAATCTTCTCTGCTGGATTATTTTTCGTATTCGTGACGGCTCTTCCAGCTTCAACCTCCATGTCTATTGGGTCTTGCTCCTGGTTTGAATTCAACCTTTCATTCGAAAGCTTGTCGACCTTTTCCACAGGTGTTTTAACAATCTTCTTACCTGGATTGCTCAACGCTTTAGTTTTCGTCTTTATCTTCTTTTTGAGGACTTTTTTACTTCTAACTTCAGGGCTTGGTGGTGCGTTCTGCGTCCGATTCTGTTCCGTCTCCATGTTGTTCTCCGTTTCCAGTACTTTATCTTTGTCGATAATGGAAAGCACATCAGTATCATTGTCTGCAGATTTCCTCAATAATTCTGGTTGTCGTCCCAAATCTGTGCGCTCATCAAAACCGGCAAAAGCTGGTTCAGAATTATCTGATTGGGAATCAGAAAAACATTTGTCTAGCTGTTCATTAGCTGCTGCTTTTGTTAGTTGTTCCCGACAATTGCTTCCGACTTCCGTTTGCTCGTCTGCCTTCTCTCTCGTGCCCTTCGCAAGAACAGTGTTGGATTGCAGCTCGTTGGGTTTATTATTGGCCTTTTCTATCGCCGCCCTGTCCGAATCGGTCAACTTCTCTGGATAATTATCCACCTTTAGCTTCTGGACAATGATCTTAATGTTTCGCAACACTGCAGACGATCCCTCAACACCGTTGAGTTGCACAGGTTTATCACCTATATTTGACGAGGCGTATAGTTTCCGCTTCTGTGCCGTCGTGAGCTGTTTACTTTTAGTCTGTTTAGCCGTATGTGGTGCAAAAGGCTTCACAACAGTATCAAAGTATGGATTGGTTGCTGGATCAACGACAGCCTTCTGACGGCGTGTCTTTTTAACGGGAATTAAAGTTTTTCTGGATGCCGCAGTCACCATCGGCGGAGGAGGCTGATCTCGGAATGACTTGGCAATTTCCATCAAAGTTCCCGACACACGCTCCGGGGTATCGGGAGGAGAAGGCGGCTGCTGACTGGGAGTAGGTAGTTCATTCTGTAGCCGTGAAATCAAGGCATCTTCGTTCTCCCGTAGGAAACGACACTTGGCCGAATCGGTAAACTGTGTTGGGGGCGTGAGTACTCTAGCGGGCGAGACGTCAAGATTTCCTTCCATTGTGCCATTGATGGTTGTCTGTGGTGGCGGGAGCTCTACCAATCGTTCCGCTGAGTCTTCCATATCGGAGATGTCCGTTGGATTGCAGATGGTTACATTAGTAGACGGTTGGGTCTCGGGAATATCGATGAGTGACGGTTGTGATTCTTTAACTGGCGACGGTTCCTGATCTTCTCTTTCTCCATCTTCGTCGTCATCCTCATCGTCCCAGTCTGTGATGATATCTACCAACTGAAGATCGGTCTTATTGTCCTTGGTACAGGTCACAGGTGCCAATAGTTTATCCGCATTTTCCTTGTGAATTCGAGGGGTCCTAGTCTCGTACCACTGCACCGGTGCTTCGTCGATCACATTTATCAGTGGCGATGGTATTCGTTCGTGAATTTCAGTCAGTCGCTTTTCCAACTCGTCATCCCGGACAAGCTCGTTGTAGTTTTCTTCGATATCGTGAGGATCGCACTCTCCGTCATCGCTGTATACCTCGTCTACCACTTGATACTCGCAATCCTCGAAGTCCTCATCGTCACTCAAGTCCGAACTGTCGTCAGAAGAACTTGAATAGTGCGCTTCCGGGATAGATGGTGCTGGTGAAATCTCCCGTTGCTGCACCAGTTGCTGGGAAAATGACACTCGAAATGAATGGCGCTTTTTCTGGGACGCCGAAAATGAATCCTTTAGTATGCTCTTAGTTATAAAACTAGCCGCTGCGTTTTGATGTGGTAGCGATGGCTGTTCATAACCTATCGACTCTTCGTGGTTCACCGGTTCTTCTTCTTCTTCCGATTGTTCTTGATTCACTAGCTGTTCCTCTTCCCTCGACTGTTCCTGTTCCACCGGTTGTGCCTGTTCCGCCGGTTGTTCATGTTCCACCGGTTGTTCCTCTTCCAGCAGCTGTTCCTCTTCCACCGGTTGTTCCACTTCCACCAGCTGTTCCTCTTCCACCAGTTGTTCTTCTTCCACCAGTTGTTCCTCTACCACCAGTTGTTTCTCTTCCACCAGTTGTTCCTCTTCTATCGGTTGACTTGTATCAGGTGTTATAATTTCGTTTGTATCATTTGCCTCTTTATCCGGCAAATTTTTGAAAGTGACGCTAAGCCTCCTTGGTATAATTTGATGAGCAACTTTGGGAGATTCTCCTAATTCTTTGACTGGACTAGGTGTTTCCGGAATAATCATTTTAGGTGACGGCGGAGCAGGCACTGCTGGTGTGCTGACGACTACCACTTTCTTCGTTGTTGCTTCTATAGGAGCTTGTGAACAGGGAGCAAGTATTTGTGGTGGGAGAACTGTATCGATAGGTAAAACCGGTGCTGCTGGGACTTGCAGCAAGACCACTGGTTCCGGCACTGGCATCTCCAGTGGTGGTGCTGCTTGTGAACCTACACGGTCAGATTCTGAAATTCGTGGCGAACTCGCTTCCATGATAGGTGAGATCGAAGTAGTGAACGCGGATATAAGAGTCTGCGAAGAGCCCGCTTCCGGTTTAGGGGTACTGGACGTGATCTGCCTGAGCAGTTCGCATTTCGCCATATTTGTTCGATGGTACTGATTCAACAGTGCTTGGCGGTTCAGGTTACTGACGCCTGAGTCAGAGGACTTACTGCCAGATTTTGTAGACGCGAGCTTTAAATCCTGAAGGACCACCCTCGGAGACAGTGCAGGGTCACCCGGTTTCGCGGAAATCGGTTCGACCGCAACGTTTCCATTCTGTACCGGTGCACTGGTGCTCGCTATCGGTGCCGGTTCAGCAGCAACATTGGTATCAGCAGCAGGCTGCTGTGGTGACTCCGGCAGCGGATTAGGATCGGAAGACTCCATGTCGAAGTGGAATATGGGTTTAGGCTGAAATTGCACGGCATTAGCGAACTGGTTCTTATGTTACATTTAAATCGCAGGCACTTACGATGTTCGCTGCCACTTGTTCAAATATATTTTGCAGCCGTACGCGACCGCCTGTTCCTCGTTTCTTCCTAAGGTAGTCGGCAAGTTTGGCGCCATTGGACGAGGTGAATATGCTGTCCTCTAGCAGATTGTCAATGTCGGACAATCGGATCGGTTCTCTGGGGAGGAAAAGAATAAGAAAAAAAAACGATTCAATTATAGGATATAAATCCAGTTATCTACTTATAGACGGCTTTATTCTTAAGATGTTTAGTTGACGAACATGTCATTCAGATTTGAACAAAATATAGAAGTCGATAACAGAGGCTACCACTGTTTTTTTTCTAGTTACACAATCTTGGAATTCGGAAACCAGATTTCAGATTTTCCAGGAAATCGTGGGATCCCGGGATTGGAACAATAGCTTGAATAAGCGTTTTATTTTCCTAAAAATACGTGTTTTCCCAGATTTTATTCGTTAAGGATAATGGAATACCTACATGCTTGAGTTATGCTCGGAGTCGAGTGTTCGGAAAAAACTACAGGTCTACAGGTTCAAAAATTCATTGCTTTATATTTTGGCGTTATTAATTGTTATTACTGTTGTTTTTGCATCAGTGGATGGAACTCTACCACAACATGCGTAAGCATGCTATCAATTGACATTTGAGCTGTTGTTGAGTTTTAAGCTGGAATGATTTTTCTGTGCACGAATTATTACCACTAGCCCGAAACAACAGCGCAGCAAGCAAACAAAGCGTCTTTCTACTAGAAGATCAGATCGTCAACTGATTTTGAAGGTTTAGATTTTTTTTTTTTTTTTTTTCCTTTATTTACAAGGCTTTCAGCCATTGGCTGGTTCGCCTTGGGCGTGGGTTTAGATAAGGAACATTTATTTCAATGAAAACTACAATAATAACAATTTCGATGTACATGTATAAGAAGAATGATGGTTATATGCACTATAGTTGTATTAATTGTAAAGACCAGAATTTATCCATCTATGGTGTGATATGACTCTTCGTACATATGTATAACATTTTATAAATCGCATTATGAGATTTATTTGCACCACTTTTTTCTCAGTTATTTTGCACCAACTTTTTTCTCAGTGTGCCTTGCGTGTGTCATTGCTTGTGTTTGCTTGTGAATAATGGCATTTTGGGTATCCCGGTTAATAAGACAGTTTGTTCAAATGGTTTATTTTGAAGGAACAGTACAACAAGCAGTGGAATCCGAACCAAGGTGACGATCTAGAGGCACCAAAGCTGGACTGGCTCGACCGGAGGATCCCACCGAGAAGACGATCGAGTTCCTCCGACCCCTGCAGGTACTTTGCTAAGACAACATCGAAACGCATCTGAAATCTATACAGCCGTTGCTAATGTTAAAATTCCGGAGAGCCTGGATCATTCTGGAGGGGGACACGTACCCTAGGCACCCCCATTAGCTACGACAATAGTCGGGGTCCAGAATCCCGCAGCAACATTAAAACTAGGCTAGCCGATTTCGAAGCGTTCAGACCTAAAAACTATAGAGTACCTAAGTAGTGAAGGGCCGTTTCCCTTCCTTTCTTCCACACAAAGCTGCAGTGAAACGGACACAATTTTTTTTTCAGGGTGTCTACTCAATCCAAGGAATCAAATTCCCTGAGTTTTCCAGGTTTTTCCAGGTCGGATGAAAAAAATTCCAGGTGCATACAAATTATACACATTATTATTTTATCTATTTATCCATCTGGAATCAATTGTTCAAACTTGGGCGTTGGTACTTATAAGTCGGCACAGCAAAAAAGTTATTGAATATTACAGCAGAACAGATAAACATAGGTTGTTTAATATTAATTTGTACATGCACCAATAGTAAATACTTCCATCATGAATTACCGGAAAATTGCTCTAGTTTCGGCAGACGTATTTGCTTTTATTATTTTAAATAAAATGAGAAAGAGAAGGTGAACTTTGTGGAGTAGAACATGGTTGCTCAGGAGGAACACAGGCAGGGATCTGGCTCATCCTTCAAGAGCTGTGATATGAAGATGAAAATGGATTTCAAAACCTCGCCAGGATGATAAAACCAACTTTAGACAAGCTAGTGGGAAAAGTTCTCACTAGATCTACATGATTCCTTGAGTTCTGAAAATTTCTGTTGACAACTCAATTCTGCAAGATCTTCAAACCTTCTGACGTCCCTGAAGTTTTGTTTCTGTTCTCGGGTAAAATTTCTTTAAAGAACAACAATCTTTCCTGACGATCTGCAAATTTCTCGGTAGTTCTACAGATTTCTTTGAAGTTCTGTGTGTTCTTCAGAAGTTCTGCAAATTTTCCTAAAAATCTACTAAGTTCCTGAATCCCTGAAGATTTAAGATCCTCGAAGATCAACAATTATCTCTGATGTTCACAAAATTTCTAATAATCTACAAAATTCTCGAAAGTTCTGTAATTTTCTCATGATTCGATGAATATCTGCAAATATCTCTGAACATCTATACAATTTTCTAAAGAATGAAAAGATTATCTAGAAATTTTTGAGCTTTCCTGAAGTTTTAGGGGTGTTCTGAAGTTTTTCTAATTTTTCTGAAGCTGTGCAAATATCTCTAAAGATCAGCGAATTTACCAGAAGTTCTGTAAATTTTTTTCAATATCCAAGAAACACAGTAAAATTCAGAAAATTTATTTAAACATCTGCTAATTTTTGAGTAGATTTAGTTGGAGGCGAAGCAGCCTAAGGCTGAAAGCCTCCTAAATAAAGCTAAATAATAATAATTTTTGAGTAGATTTACGATCTACCCTCTGAACTTTTCTGAAGTTCCTAAAATTTATTTCAAATTCTGTAGAGTTTTTGAAGTACTGTATTTCTGCTCTAAAGATCTACGAACTGCCCTGAAGTTCAATAAATTTCACAGTAGATCTCCGAACTTTTCTAAAGTTCTTTAAATTTCTTTGTGGATTCTTGATCTAAAGATCGGCGAACTTTCCCTAAGATCTGTGAGTTTTGCTGAAGTTTTGTAAATTTTTCTAAAAACGTACGAACTTTTTGACGTTCTACAGACTTCTCTTAAGGTCTACGGACTTCTCTGAAGTTCTTTAGATCTATCTATTTCCGACTTCCATGGAGTTCTGCAAAATATTGTACAGGGTGGCGAATTTTTGCAGTAAATTTCAAATAGTAATTTCTCATGCTTGTGCATCATGATTTAGATATATTTGGCAGCACTGGATAGCTTATACTGTTAGGTGTAAGATTTAAACAAACAATATTGAGTAAACGTAAAGATGTCGAAACAAGAGAGCAATCTGTCAGCCGTTGTCGCTTTGTTGCGCGCCGGAGTATGCATGAAAGAAATAATTCGGTCGGTAAATGTGTCTGAAAGAACAGTGTATAATATTAAAAAAGGCTTGGGAAAGTGATAAGACGGAGCACCTGCTCATACTGCTAATAAAGCACAGAAATGGCTTACGGAAAATATTTCGTAAATTTGGGAGGAAGAAATTTGGCCCTCAAGCAGTCCCGATATCAATCCGTTGGATTATTTTGTATAGGGCGTCGTCCAACGGGATACCAATAGAACCCCTCACACCACACTTAAGTCGCTAAAAGCTAAAATCAAGGCAGTGATGACATCTATGGATCGAAAATTTTAAAACGTGCATACTGCAGTTTCCGGAAGCGTCTAACTACAGTCGTCGAAAGGGAAGACAATTTTTTTGAATAAATTTACTTACAACTTCCATATGTTGCGAAAGAAAATAAATCGCACAAAATTCATTGCTAGAATAACTTACTGGTGTATTTTTTCTCAAATATGCCATTTACTGCAAAAATTCGTCACGCACCCTGTACTTAAGTACTTAGCTGCGATTTGTTTTTGGAATTGAGGTGCTTTTCATTTTCATTTGCATTTAACGAATTTTTCTGAAGATCTCACATTTGTGTGAAACTGTGAAACTTTCTGTCAAATTCCTGCAAATATCTTTAAAGTTCTGTAAAGTTATCTTAAGCTCCGTAGCTCTATTCCCAAGATTTACAAAAAAAAACTTGAGGCTCAATAAATTTCTCAGTAGATCTGCAAACTTCTCTGATGTTTTGTAAATTCCTCTCGGGTTACCCTGAAGATTTGAAACTTTCATTGAAGATTACCTAAAGTTGTCAAAATTTATCTGAAAATATGTGAGCTTCCTTTCTTTCTTTAGATCTACAAATTTTCCTGAAATCATGTAAATATTTTTTTTAAATCGCCGAACTTCCCTGCAGTTCTGCAATTTTTACTGAAGATCCATTAACATTTCTGAGATTCTTCTGATTTTTTCAGAATTCCTGTAATTTTTTTTTCCAAGTTCTGGAGCTTTGTTCTGAAGATCTACGAACTTTTCTGATGTTGACTAATGTTTCGAGGATCTCCAAACTTCTGTGAAATACTTTATATTTCACTGTAGATTCTTGGACTTGTCTGAAGTTATGCGAATTTCCCTGAAGATTTGCAAAATTTCGCTTATAGTTTTACAAATTGATTTGAAATTATTTTTGCTTGCTTGAAGTTTTGAAAATTTCTTTGAACATTTATCTGAAGATCTACGACCTCTCTTGTGATTTTGTTTTTATGAATTTCTGTTAATTACTTTTAATTTGTTTGTAGTTCTGTTCTCAAGATCAACGAACTACCCTGAAGCTCAACACATTTCTCAGTAGATCTCCGACCCTCTCTGAAGCTCAAAAAAATTATATGTAGGCTCTCAGACCTGCTGTCTGGCATGCTTATTCTTATACAATACATGCTTCGTATGCTTCCTTTTGTCGGTTGCCAGTCTCTCTTCTTCGGTCGTTTTCTTTTTACGACGATTTTGATCCTCCACATACAAATCAGTAAAGAGCGAGCGTGACAAGACTCTCTGAATGAACTTGTCTCGTTCGCACACGTTGTCTTAGCTGTCAGATGCTTGTCAAGTTCAGTGTACTTAAGAAACGTTTCGAGAAACTGAGCGAAAAACTTCTTTTGAATTACGAATGAAGTGATAATTGGAAAATTCCCTGAGTGGAACCAAAATTCCCTGAATATTCCATGTTTTTCCAGAAAAAAGTAAAATTCCCTGTAAATTCCCGGTTTTCCAGGTTTTTTTTTCAGGTAGTAGACACCCTGAGACAGTTATGGAAAAAATGCTGTGACGTGTGCGCGTAGATACATCCGCGTAGTAAACCGATTGAATAAGTAAATCCGGTTCGAACGAGACATGTAAATTATGTAATTTACGAAAACCGCGCGAATTCCGAAAGCCTTGCGAGACAACCGAAGCGAGAAAAAAGGCTTATTATCACTTAAAGAATGCCACCAAAATAAATGTGATAGCCTATATGTTGGCAAGTTGATTAATTTTGGTTTCCTCTCTAAATATTCTACTTATTTTACTATTGAGATTTGTTTCAATTTAGTTATTTTGCCGCACATATCAATAATTTCAAAATTTCGCGACCATACCGAACAAATTCTAAACAACATAAGCTCAAAAAACTTTTGGTAAGTGCAACCGAATTGCGAATCGCTTCTGCGTAAGCTCCGTAGACGTAGGCGCGTTGATTCCGACAGCCGCGAAAAGTTAAACATGTATCGATGCGTCAATACCACATAAGAAAAGATCGATTTTACAGTCACGTAGGGTTTAGTTCATCGATTAACATTGACTGCTGTTTACAAATGTAAGTACTTCAACACTAAGAAATAAGTGCACTAAAATGCTTTAAAAGTTATTAATTGTCACATACCTCTAAGTTGGCTTATTTCCTAAACTATTCCTCTCCTTTTTAATCTGCTTAATGCTATTGGTCTGCTTGCGTTTTCTTATTGAAGTTCAAGACTAAATAGGAAGATTTATTCTACAACTTTAAAGGTTAGTTGCCTCGGACCCCCCGCATCCAATTCTTTTGTTAATCTACCTAATGTTATTAGACTTTCTGAATTTTCTTATTTAATTTCGTTTGATGATTATGATATCTCATTAGTCTAATTTAATAAATAATTGAAATCTATAAGTCACCTAATCAATCATAACCCATGCTTTATTAAGTACCAGCACTTATGCTTGTAATCTAAAATCAAACGTGCTTCAAGTACTTTTGCTTTTGACCTATACCTATTTATTATATCTTATCGACCCAAGTGACTAAAATGCTTCATTTTGAAGTTAGTTTCCTAGCTGGTTTGTAAATTATAAAGGGTATATGCGCCAACTATGCTCACACTATGTCGTACCACAAAAAATCACAATAGAAGCACGCCACAGTGGAAATCCCGAGCCATAGTTCAAACACTTATCCCAAATCAAAATGAAGCACATATAGGGTCTTATTACGGGTGTCACTACACGGTGATAAGTAAGTGATACTCGGAATAAGAGCCGTGATTGCCGTACAAATTGGAATCACTTCACCGTGACAAGTGACAAGTTTTCACCGTGAAGTGACCAGTGCTGATAAAAATCCTTTCTTCTACACTCAATTTAGCTGAAAATGAAGAAAACCATAACAGATAGACCAACTACCTGCATGAATTTGAATTTTGATATAAACAAATTCCCTTGATCTAGGCAACCTCTGAGTATCAAAAATAACATTTGTTTTTCTTCATTTGTGGCTGGATTCTCATTATCGCCTCTGTTGTTGTAAATATTGATATTCGTCTTCATCTTGGTCGGGATGATATTGAGGATCAAATGCAAAATGATTATTTTCATTTAAAACAAATATAGCGCTGAAGAACGTGGTTTTTATACATAAGTAGCCGGCAAATTATTGCCTCAAGCTGAACTGATGATAATATCGATGATTTAGGCAGTGTGGTCGACAATATTCAAAATAATCATTTTGCCCAAAATGTCGTTGATTATTTTGCTTTTGAGGATCACTTCTGATTTTCACAATTTTGGGTTTGATAATCGAGCACTGGTGAATATCAACAAACGCATATTCGTTGATGTATAATAAACTCATTTGTTCATTTCGCTCGTTTCGTAACTACGAAGATGTTCAAAACAAACGCAATTCATCGACACTGGGTTGAAGCGATACTCCTTGCATGTGATGGTAAATGATAAAAACAGACACTGGAAGTGACATCCGTAATAAGCTCCATAAGATTAGTCACAATACCATGCATGTACAAAAATGGTGTTTGACATTGTTCTCTGAGTAATACCTCAATGAAAACAACAATGAAAGCTTGTCACGCAAATAGAAGGAGCACTGTTGGGCACTTTCTGAAATATTTCAATAGTAGGGGAAATGGCTCTAATGGATCTAAGGTTGGGCCCATCGCTAAAAATCTGCTATTTATCCAGTGTTGGCAAAATCAGAAATCAATTGATATTTTTTCCGCTCTCTTGCGCTCGCAATATCACGCGTGATATTGTAACAAAATATCATGCTTGATATTGATTTTACAAGCTCCTTTGATATTGCGAGACGATTCACAACGTGCAAAAATCAAGCTGAGAATTGACTCGACACAAAAATGATTCCATTAAGGTGTATTCAGATCTGAGCGTACATTAGCGGAGCGGAGCAAAATTTGCGTTGGAATGAGAGAGACAACTAGTACTTTTCTCCCTCTCGTACCTTCGTAAAATCTCTCTCCGCGCGTGAAATATCGCTCAGATCTGAATACAGCTTTACACATCGTTTTCTTAGAAAGAGAGAGAGAGCATAGTTTGCTATCTCTTTTTAATCTTCACCGATGGCAGACGCGAAGGGACTTCTGCAAGCCATTATGGAAGTTTCGGTTGCATTCGGGTGTAAAGCAAAAATCATTAAACTCAATCTCACCACAGTTTGGTGAGATTTGCAGTTGGTGAGTTTTGTTAGCTTGATATTCCGAGCTGCGATATCACAGCTTGCAAAATCAACCGCAGTAGTTTGCTTGTTGATTTTTGTCTACGAAAATCAAGCGTGATCTTGGGCGTTGGTGAGATTTGGTGAAGCAACTGTAAACTCTAGAGGTTATTTCTATCCTTAACTGTAGCCAGTTCGATTTTGTTTGCTAACCTGGTCAAAAGGTCTTATCTAATTATCTTAAAGATAAATCGTTCAGCTTAAACCTTTGTAGGGGTAAGAGGTGGGAGCATCATCATCATCATCATAAAGAGTTTAACGAATTCAGTTACGGTTCCGAATTAGAAGTGTAGAAAATTTCAATATTCGAAGTATTTCTAAGTGCGTGTCTGTGCTAGCACAAATAGTGGGCTTAAAAGCGAGCTTATGTTATAAAACCGTTTCCACTACAGTGAACCCTTCATGAGTAAATAGTCTATGTGTCGATATCGACTTAATGGAACCATGCTATAAGTTGTTAATCCTTGCATCTCGATATTTCAATGAGCCAAACAGTTAGCTTACATAATAAAGGGGAACGGGTCTGGCATAGTGGTTAGCCTCCATGCCTCTCCAAAGATCACGAGTTCAAATCTCATCCCCGGACAAGTCACGAATGACGACCTAAACTATGTTGAAGTGAAAATAATAATAAAAGAAAAGCTATTCGAAAACGGCAAATCAATCAAAAAAATAACATATGTTCCGGATTTTCTAGAATTCTTCAAAACATTCTCTTCAAACACTGACATCCCTAAGTGAAGTCTTCGATTGCCCTTTTCGTAATATCAACAATATTTTTTTTTGTCAAAATGGAGCTGACTACCGTTTATTGTCAGTACGGGCCATTGAAAATACATATTCGAAGTGTTTGCAAAACAAATCGAATAGTGTGCACGCCCTTGGTTGCACCTTGCAAACATCTCTGCTAGGATATTATTCATTCAAATCACCACATTTGATGACTCATACGTAGATGGTTGGTGTAAATATTTAAACTAGCTCTGACTGCTTCACTAGAAGATTACATCCTTTTCTACCGACACCCTCACTTCACGATCCAGAAATCAACCATAATCGAAAGTCAATCAAACGATGCCTTTCACTACACCAGTCAGTAGTAGGTATATCTCCCACACATTGAAACATTGGGGCTGCAACGTCTAACAATATTAAATTTAAAATGCAACACTTTGTTTACATTGGCAAATCTTCTTAAATTATTGAATAACGCAGCTCCCCTTTGAACTTGTAGTAAAGGTCATGCGTCGCAATACAACTTTCTCTTTGCATTCACGGATGGCTACTTTCTAATAATCTATCTGCTGGTGGGAAATAACATCTACCAGTAACAATTTCCCAGCAAGCCACTATGTCTTCACAGTCATGCATTTCCTTATCAGTCAGATCCACGACTGCATTTTCCACCCACGAGAAAGAACAAAATACGATCCCTGCTCTCCTGCTGAGCAAAAATCCATAAACCAATATATCTGGAACCATGGAACCATCTCTCGCACGTACTTTTCACTCTGCTTGATCTCGTAGAACCATTCGTGGGGCGATTTCATCTTATTGCACTACGCCTCGTAACAGCAGCACCACCGATCAGTAAACATTCACTATTCAAACACGTCCCTTCAGTTGAACGTAGTGCACTTTAAACAATCCACTTCCAATCAAATAGTTGCTGTACAATGTAGTCGAATGATTCGTAGGCAAATGATGCTGTTGCTATTCCATAGCAGCTGCTTTCGAAGGGTAAACAAAACAAGCGAAAATCCAAACGTTATGCTGTTGGAAGCGACCTACAGTGAACTGAAATGCCCGGTAAGTGGTCTCTGGGCACCTCGTCTTCCTCCAATAGGAGGAAACTCTAATCTGCAGGATTGTTGAAAACTTTCCTATTGCATGAGGGAAGCCACCCAGACGCAGACCAATCGCATCAGCCAAGTACTTACCTCGGATTGAAGTCGGACATTTCGAGGCGACTCAGGGCCACGAGATTGCTGAAATCAAATCTATCTGATGGCAAGAATCGTTACTGAACTATTTGGAAATAGGTATATCATCTTTTAATGGCACCACACAGGAAATTTTCTGGTTTTTTAAGTGTTTTTCGGTACACAATCCGAGAGATTTACCAAGAGTTTGGTTTTTTAGTGTTTTTTTTCTAATTATTTTTCGTTGGCAGCAACATAAAAAGGAACGCTGTGAAAAAGGAGCAGCGGGACCAATGGGTTCAAAACAGGTGAAGCACAGAGGAATTGGCGTCTCTTTTGTTCCTCCGGTGTTTAATTGTCGTCATGACGTAGGACGTCAAACTTCTGTATCCAACAAGAGGAACAAAAGAGACGACAAATCTAGACTAACATTTGAAAGGGGCGGAAGAACCCAAATCTAAACAAACCATATCAGTGCTAACATTTGAAAACGGCACAAAAGCCATTTGTAAACAAATGGTTTGTGGGCCCTTTACTCACTACTTGAAGTACACCCACGCGACACAACAGCAACATCGGGTAGGGGAAATTTTCCCCTTCCTGACGATGCTGTTGGTTTGCGTGGGCGTTCTTCGGGTAGCGAGTAAAGGACCCACAAACCATTTGTTTACAAATGGCTTTTGCGCCGTTTTCAAATGTTAGCACTGATATTTTACCACATGTAGAGAGACAATGTTAACAAACTACTCGATAACCACGAAAATATCATTTCAAATTATCAAAAACATTTCTTTTTACATGGTGTAGGTATTTCCAATTTACAACTGTGCAAATTTTCATTATGTCGAGAGTAACATTCGTATCGATCCGAGAGAAATATAGTTTTGTTTTGATGAACGAAAAGTTATTCATATTTCCAATTAAACACATTCAATGATAACAATGTTTAACATATTAAGCAAGGTTTTAATCGTGCAATGCAGATCGCTTGCTTTCATGCTAAAAAATACTGGTTTATGAGTCAAAAGTTATTGTGCGTCTCGTTATACGTCGTTTGGTGGTCCCCTAATATTACTTAAGTCAAACTGTATTTACCAGGATAATCGGAAGAATTATCAATCACGTCTCCTTACGTGCAGCCCATTCATCATTTTAGGACCACCGAAATCATCTTAGCAACAAACAGTTCGATTTATTCACTTTGATAATAAGAAATCGAAACGACGAACGTACACTTATCACGGATTTCTCTGCGCTCCCTAATAAAAATAACAATAAAAGAGAGCTTAACGACATGTTCGAGGCACCATCTAAACCATTTGTGTGATAGTTAACCCATCCGGGATACAGTTCGTTTATGGTATCTGTTTATTAGGGCTGTTACAGTACAGTATATAGTATAAAGTGCAATAGCAGGAGCTTCGAATGACACAGATAGCTCGACTTTGTTTACCTTTGTTACTTTCGACTTAATGGAAATCTGCTCTTGATTTACTATACGTCAAGCACATAAAATCATCCAGAAAATGGAAAGGATTAATTTTTAGGACTTTAAAATTCGGAAGCGATTTTCTCGATATAGTGATTTTTGAATTCCGCGCCTTTCAAATGCTAGTCTAGAAATTCTCTGGGATTCACCTCCCTTTTTATGGCACAGACCTGTTGGTCCATATTTGAACTGATGGGTTCACCTGTTTACCACAAGGGGGGGAGGTGGCTGTCAAATACGAACAATCGTCGCCTACCTCGCATAACTGGGATAACTGGTTCCAAACGTAAACAAGCCATAAGAAACCTACAGCGTTTGTTTACCTTTGGAACCAGTTTCATACAAGAATGATCAGTAGGCTGATTTGACAGCACGTCCCCCCCCAGGTTTACCACTCCTTGGGATTTGACAGCTCGCTTTTAACCGTTGGTTAGACCCAATGATAGAAGTGAACTGGTATTAGTAAGCGAAAAAACTGGTGACGTCACTACTTGCTCTGAGTATAGTCCTCTCCACGCGGGTTCGTATTGGTGCGATTTGCGATTTAGTAAGATGAATTTTTTTGTTAGCTGTGAGAAATTTTTTGTTTGCTGTAAGAACTGTCATTCTAAAGTAAAAATAAACAACAAAACGAAAACATTCCCTAAGCTTGTACGGTAACAGTCAAATACTCTTTTATGAGTAAAAGTAAACCCATTTTTTATAAAAGTGGCTTTACTCATTTATGACTAAATTATTTTATTAACAATGAGTTTCTGCTAACAGTTACTACTTAATTTGCATAATAAATTACTCATTAATTAGTAGTACCACTTTTATTGACAATGGGTTAACTTTTACTCATAAATGGGTGTTTGATTATTACCGTGTACATGGCAGTATACACTAGTATGTGTAAAATAATATTATTAGATTAGTGTTCGTGAGATCCTGCTTGGAGAACTCAATAGACCTTTTTGACGTTTAATCATTCTTCTCTATCTAGCACACATGAATGGACGGTTTGTTTTCCCACTAATCTGTTTTCTTCTTGCTCGCACTCGTTCGCTTTAAATGGTACAGTAGTGTGCGCCGATTAAACGTCAAAAAGCTCTACACGCTAACTCCAAAGTACCCATTAATGAGTAAAATTTTACCCATTTTGTAGAAAAGTGGCCTAACTTATGAAATGAGTAAAACCGATTTTACTCATTAATGAGTATTCAACGAATACGTCAAAAAATGTGTATTTTTCATTCTTCATGCTTTTCTCGCACATGAGTAAAAAGTACCCATTTTATTGATTTCTTTTATGCTTCATGGGGCTATCTGTCATCAAACTAATTTATACCTTTAAAAAAACCTGAATCATTAAAAAAGAAAGCTTCATACACTTTATTTTATACAAATAATTAATAATAAACCCGGGATCGGTCTATGCGGGTTGCTGCTCATAGAACAGGTTCGGACCCTTCAGCATGTACATTTCACTTCTTCCTCATAAAGATCTTCGCTAACCTGAAACGGAACACATTTTTAGAACACATACAGTATTATTACCTCATAACAATCAGTACCAGGTCATGTCCAGGAATGCTGTGATGTTCTTCAAATTTTCTGTTTGACTCTTCTTTTCTCTGAAAGTGAAGGAAACAATGTAACTTCTAGTCGCAGGATTGTTTTAAAATAAACTTGTTCACCTCAATCAACACCGGCCGGATCAAAAATGCTAGCTCCATCGTACCACCGTCACGTAATCGATGCACGCAAAATTCGCGAATGCTTGTCACACTCGCTTGTTAAAAATTATTAATCACTCTGCGCTTCTACCACCGACTCTTCCACTTCACCAAAGATGTGTTGACCTTAATTTGATGTATATTTTTACCCATTTTAATTACAGGAGATATTTTAAATAATGGGGAAAAAGAACCCGCTTTTATTTTTTTGAAAACACCCATTTTTTGGCGTTTTTTAATAACTTTAAAAAATGAGTACATGATACTCATTTAAAGGGTACTTTAGAGTTAGCGTGTATAGAGCTTATAGACTTCTCTGCCACCGTTAGTATTAGTGAGCAGTTGCACTAATACATGCTTTCTACTGGTTGAAAATAAAAAACAAACCACTGTCAGGTCGAACACTTTGACAGTTGATTTCGTGGTTGAAAATAATAAATAAATCGTTTTTACACTGTTATACCAGCACGGTTGGTTTAGTGAGATCTTGCGGCAAGAAGTCTATTGAGTTCGCCAAGCAGGATCTCACGAACACTACATAATTTTACACACACTAGTCTTACACACACGGTAAGGATTAAAACTCCATTTATGAGTAAAAGTGAACCCATTGACTTCTAGACGCAACATCTCACTAATACAACCTTGCTTGGGTAGACCCTCGGGAAGACCTGTAAAATCGGTTTTTTTATTATTTTCAACCACGAAATCAGCTGTCAAAGTGTTCGACTTGACAGCGGTTTGTTTTTTATTTTCAACCAGTAAAATGCATGTATTAGTGAAACTTCTCACTAACACTAACGGTGGTACAGAACTCTATTCTCGCGTCACTTTTCAAATAGACCAATGTAACAAATGTAAACAAATCGAGTTAAGCGATACAAACTATTGCTCTTCTCTCAGTGTATGTGATACAAAAACATCCATCCAAATTTACTTTCATAATCATAGGTCAAAAATTGTCTAATGTACAGTTTGAAATGATGGGAACATGATTGTTACTTCGGTCATTTGGACTGCCTAACATGATTGGTGCTCATTTTCCAAAGGCGGGCCAATCTAAAGTTAGGTACTATACTCTGAAATCTGTGAAAGGGAATCTAGTATCATGTAGACAAAACGTCCAATGTAAAGGCCGGCGCACAATAGATACGTTTTCGGGTTTTTTGACAGTTAGCCCATGCATTATCTGTCAAAAAACCCGAAAACGTATCTATTGTGCGCCGGCCTTAACACTCATTGATTATGTAATTGAGAAAAATCGTCCAATGTAACTTGTCCGATGTACAACTCGACTTGTCTAAACGTCCTATTTGGTTTTTTCTATGTTGTAGCATGAAATTCAAAGTAAAATTGTGATTTTACCGTTTCTTCTGAATTTTCAACGTTATTATACACTGACTACATTAAAAGTAGTATTGCAAACTGTATTGTTTTTAAACAGTTAAAATAATAATCTGTCGAACTACAACTTCGATTTTCTAAAAATGGTGGATATGTTACATTGGTCTATTTGAAAAGTGACGCGAGTATTGTCAATAAAAGTGGCACCACTAATTAATGATTAATTCATTATGCCAATTGAGTAGTAGTTGTTAGCGAGGCTGCTAGCTACTGTTAGCAGAAACTAATTGTTGTTAAAATAATTTACTCATTAATGAGTAAAGCCACCTTTATCAAAAATGGGTTAACCTTCACTCACAAAAGGGTACACGGTAAGAAAAAAAAAAGTACCCAACGGAAAGTTCACTTTTACCTACTTTTGACTAGTTTGTCTCC